AGATCATCCAGTCCCAACCCTACCTGCCATGGGCAGGGGCACCTCCCTTTAGACCAGGTTATTCAAAGCCTTATTCAAGCTGGCTTTGAGCACCACCAGGGTAAATAGTATTCATAATGAAATTATTTTTTAGATGAGGTATTTGTGCTTCCATCTGTCTGTATTAGAGAAAGTGTAGTGTGAGGGAGAGAGATTAGCTTTGATGCCTGCTTTTCAGTTGAAGTGTTCTGCTGTCTGAGGGCATGAGCTATAACTCTCTCAAAATGAATCATATATATTCTCTTCTCCTGTCTTTTGAGTGATTATCCCAGTGGAAGTAAAATTGGAACCTTGAAACTGATTGAGAAATGTCTGTTCATAAAAGTGCTTGATTTCTTTCTTCTGGATTAATCTTTGAATATATCTTGACATGTCTGAACTTTTTAACCCAAAGGAATGAAGATTGCTTCCTTCCATTTATTTATATTTTAGATGGCAAATACATTAACTTTCCATGATCGTTGAGTAGCTGTCATCCATCATCTGTAAGATGAGTTGTACCCTCTCAATACAAATACAAAAGTTTCATTCCTTTTAAGAACATCTTAATGTCTCCTTGACAGTATTTCCTCCCTCAGATGTTTATATGTGAAGTCAGGTCCCAAGACATAGAGCGATCTTGCTTTTAAAGAAAGTCCAAATTGTTTGAAAATACCTCTTACCTTTGGAGATCAGAGTGAGACAATTAAATATTTGTGTCTTTGAAGAAAAAGAGGGAAAAAACCCTGAGTTCTTTTCCCTAGCTGCCTCACTCAGAGCAGGGGCTTGGGAGCAAGCTGAGTATTGCATGATTCAAGAAGAAATTAGATTCTGATGTGGAAGTCTGAGTGAAGGACTCTGTCATTCAGTTCCCAGAGTATGTTATGAACATGCCACAGGGGCCCTGAAATAATTGTTTCCAATCTGATGTATGCTGTGCACCATGAGATTCTGTCTTCTATTGAATGTAAAACCTACTGTGGATTAGTACTATGAAACACTGTAAGAGATTGCCCATGAGGCTGTGGATGCCCCATCCCTGGAGGTATTCAAATCTGGGTTGGACAGGGCTTTGAGAACCTGGCCTAGTGAATGTGATCCTATCCCCATGGCAGGGTGGTTGGAACTAGATGGCTTTCAAGCTCCCTTCCAACCCAAATCATTCTGGAATCTATGAAAATCTGTGAGTTAAAAATTCATTATATTTCCATAGGTAGAAGTTTATTTACTTAATATGTGTACTGTAATAAAATGTGGCATCATTCTTTGGGTTAGAAAACCTGTCCTATTGTTATGAGCCAAGTCTCCTGGTTCATTTCCTGAGCTTTCTCATCACTGTCCCATTTGTAGAAAAGCTGTCTCGCAAAAAATGACAACACTGAATGGAATTTGTGGAGCATTTATATCTTCACCTGATAATTTTGACTGTTAAAGCACATGAAAAAAGCCAAATGCAAGTGTTTGCCTTTTGAAAACTTTTTTCCCAGTGTCTGATAACCCTGCTGTTGAACCCTGTCTCTCCAGTACACAGACAAGAGGTTATTTGCCATTAATTGATTGTTTGGCCTGTCCATGAAACATGAAATACGGAAGTATCAAGAACATTTTGTGAAGTGATTAACAGTGACTCTCAGCCACTCTATCCTTTCTGTGTAAAGAGGGTTGGTAACAAGACCTTGTGATAATTCATGCTCTTACCAATTTGTTCAAATTAACTTTTCTTTCTCCTGTAGTCGTCATTCACAGACCTGCTTCATCACCCAGAGCTCTCAGCAGGCCATGGAATATTTTACTGTGTTCAGAGGCCAGTACAAGATTGAGGGCATATTCTGTGATGCTTACTGAAACAATTTCTCTTCTGATCTTCTATGGATCCAAAAACTTTGTTTAAAAATTCCATCTGTATGCTGAATGTTGCTTTTGTCTTTTGCAGAAGCCTAGCTCTGTAGGATTATGATTTTCATGTTGTGTGGCATGGCTTTATTGTCCACTGAACTCCACCTGCAGTTCCTATTGTCATGCAGTTATGTGATGATGAATAACTGATTGGTATAAAACATGTAGGCAAAACCATCTGTATCTTTTCAGCAATGTATTTTAATAGAAGAATTGGCTGGGGAAAGAATTAGGGTATTGCAGCGGTATACAGGAAACTGGCATGCTTTTCCTGTGTATAATAAATCAGTCTCAATTGTGTGCTTATGTGGATTAAACTGAAGTCTTCAGCGTTTCAGATGTTAAGAGTAGCCTTAGACTATCCAAATGCCACTTCTTAGTGATTCTTCTCAAAGACACATGTTCCCAGAGGGCTGCTGGTTGAACCTATAAATGCCTTATCAAGATTCAATTCTTCAACTCTTTTCTCTCTTTTTTATGAAGAATGGACTCAATGTCTATCCGTCACCTTGTTTTTCAAGTACTTTTTGAAGTCGTAACTTACAGGCATACTGTTCTTTTTGTTACTGAGGGGCAAGGCCAGAGTGCTTGACATGGGGGCAGTGCCATGCTAGTGAACTCCATGGGCCTGTCCCTTCCTTGTGTTGCCCCTGGCGTGACCTGGGAAGAAGTGGTGCCTGTCCCCATCACTTTTCAGCCGTATTAGTGCTGCCCAGTGAACTGCCTGTGTTTTGCCATCAGGTTGCTATTTCTTGTCCAAAGGAGAAGGCTAAGCAGGGGCATCTGAAGCAATGCTAGAATATCCCTTTCAGTCACAGCCACAACTAGGTCACCTGCAACCAAGCATAAAGAAGCATCCTCCTATGGCTGATACTCATGTTATTGCAAAGGATTTGTTCCTCTCACTGGAGAACTGCAGCACATACCCTGTGCAGCAATGATGTGTCTGATGTAAGGGCTGCCTGTAGTTGCCTCGTTACTGCCTCTAATCCTGGATTGGATGTTGGTGTATTTAACCACTTCAGTAAGACAGTGGTTTAGAGGTAATTCAACTGCGATATTTGTCTTCTAAAGTCTACATAAAAGCCACTTTAATAAGATGGATGCTCTTGTTTTTGTATAATAACAACAAAGTGTACCCTTGCAGAGCATCAACCCTCTCACTTATTTACTAGCTGCTCATTTGGGAGTGGATGAATGAGTTGCAAGGAAGCAATGTAAATCCCTAGTGTCACATTATTGTCCTTTTTCGTCATGGAATCCAAGTTCCATTGCACTTATGGAGACTACAGCTACTGTGCACATTTGCCATTAAAAAAAGTGTGTTTTTTCAACAGTCTGGCAATTTCTTTTTATGAAGTCTTGTACTTCGTTGTGATGGTTTCATTCTGTCAGATACCAGTATTGTTATGGTGTTACTCTGCAGTTAATGATTTTATTTACTAAAATGCCGTGTGACTTAGGATCCTGAAATGTTTTCATGTTGTTTATTAGGGTTTGCTGTAGGATGGATTTGCTTTTATTTTACTGGGCATCAAAGCAGGTTTTCTCTGTGGAACTCAGAGCAACTGCAGTGACTTAGCAGGATTTTTCTTCAACATGAAATCTCTTGAGAAGGACAAAACTTTGGATCTTAGGAAAAATCAAAGTGTATTCACTCAGGATACTAAATTGACTGGACTGTGTGGAAAACTCATACTACAGCAGTACACAAAGTGGAATTTAATCACTTTGCATGAAGAGACAGGGAAGTTCTCTTTAAACCAAAAAGGCAATTAAGGGATACAAACTTTATGAATGTACCAGTCCTGACTATACTCTGTTATTACATCTAATGGGTTTAAAATGACCTTAGTCATCTCACTGCTTCCTCAATTATTCTTTTCTTTTTTAAAATTTACAGTAATTACAGCTTGGCTATGACCTACTTGCTCAGTTTTTAATATTATAAAATAAGCTGAAATGCTTCTTTTATTGATACAAACATTACATTATAGAGTTTCACAAACAGATTTATGAACAGTTTGTTTATACATAAAAGCAAAGAACCAACCTGTAGGTTTAGAAAAGGGGCAGACAGTGCACTAAATGTTATTTTAAGATATAAGAGCTTTACTTTCACATAAGGATTTTGATTTTTCAGCATACCTAATGTATAATGCTTGCAATAGTAAGTTTGGATGATAGGTTGGGTTGTACATAAAACAAGAATATCACATATCTTATCTAGCCTTGCTGCTTTTTCTTTCTACTAGCCTCTCAACCTATTGCAAAACAGGAAAATGTGAATAAAAAGCAGTGGAGTCTTAAAATCCCATCTTCAGGTTGAAGGTGTGATATTGTAGGAGATTTATAGGCAAAATGCAATTTTCTTTCTTCAGAAACCCAGATGTTTTTGCTAACTGTAGTTGTCCTTTGGTGGTGACAAATTTCTGCAGAACACCATTTCAGAAATGTTGTTTCTGAGTTGAGAGAGAAGTTCCTCATGTTGAAGTTTCTTGTACTCATTCCAATAGCATAATTTCTATTCTGTGGGAAGTTCTGGGCTTTTAAGGAGAATGGAAAACTTTCCATTCAAAGTAAAATTTTTGCAGGAGCTAAAATCCCCAAACATTTCTTTATAATTAAATAGTAATTTTAGAAAAGCTGTTAAAAATAAAATTGCACTTGAAATCTTAGTGCAGTCTTTCAACTCAGCTGCAGCCCTTCATTCTAAGTCTGTAGAAGGGGGCACTTGTAGCTCCCTTGACAAGAACCTAATGTGCTGGGTGGTGTTGGATTCACAGCAGCCACTGTGGTAGGAGCATTGCTGTGGCAAACATCTGAGCTTTCCAGAAGCCCCTTAGTATTTTGCTAGAAATTCTTCCAAACCAGTCATCTTAATATGTCTCTGAACTGGCATTTTTCCACTGCAACCTATTGATCTGGAGCAGTCTTTGAAAGTCCTTAATACCTGGTACACATTCTGGCCTTTCCATAACTGTACTGCTTCTGGTCACCAGCACTGTTCAAGAAGGAGCCTACAGCAATTATCAGGTGTTGAAAGGTTTTGTTTGAGGGATGACGTTCTATGTTTGATCTTGCAGGAATTCTTCAATGGGTGAAGCTGATAGATAACTTTGAGGCTGAGTACGAATATGTCACCAATGAAGGAACAGTGTTCACTTTCAAGACAAACCGCCATTCTCCAAATTACCGGCTAATCAACATTGACTTCAGTGATCCAGAGGAATCCAAATGGAAAGTTCTCGTCCCTGAACATGAAAAAGATGTTCTAGGTAAGAGTTCATGTCAAGTTAAAGACGTTAGGTTCTGCTTTTTCCAAATTAATTGAGCAGTTAGTCTGTTGGATGATCTTTTACAGACCTTCTTGCTTTTTTCCTGTGTTTAAGCTTTGGTTAGGATTTGTAATTTAAAATACTTGCTGAGATACAAGCAGTTCAGAACATCTCTTTCTCTCTCTCTCTCCAACGTCCTGTGTGGCCCTAGTGAAGTTGCTTCATCTGTCCTGGTTTTAATTCAGTGTTTGTAGGAAATGAGGGAAAAGTATTTTCCTGCTTCATGTCAGTGAAATAAATGTTTACTAGACAGTCAGGGATTACAACAAGAGGGACTTTGTAAACAGAGAGAAGGGAAAGTGCAAATCTGGCAGTACTGTAGTATGCTTTGAACAGAATTGGTCAGAATTTGAGACAGGATTTCTTTTGTTCCTGGAATAAGAGGAGTAAACAATACTTGAAAAAAAAAGCCTCAGGAAAGTGTAAGGTCATGAAATTCTTAAAGTATAGAAGCAAGTTCAAAACATAAACATTTGGTTTTGATACAATTAAAATAAAGGTGTATTTTTTAATCCCATCATTTTGCAGAAAGTTCTATGAAAGCTTAGAATTCGTTTCAGATAATACAGAAGAACCACTTTTGAGCTGTTTTTTGACAGATGCCTTGTGTACATTTATGTAGTTTGCTCTCCATACAGTATAAGGTACAATTATGATTTATCTGACTAGCACAATTAGTTATTCAAAAATACTCTGAATTTTTAATTAATCAATTTTTATAAAAATTCTTTTATGTTTGCTACTTTTCCAGTGAAGAGCTGCTTTCTAGAATGAGTAGAATTCTCTCTGTGTATCTGATTTCATATGTGCATACAGTGTAACTTCTTTCCTCACTGAGACAAACCTATTTTACTACATTTCAAAGTCATCTTAAGGCTTTTGTCACTTTAAAAAAGAATATTTATTTCTGTCTGCAGTTCACAATGTGCCCTGTGTGATTTCTGCCCCAGCCTTGATGTCCCCAGTGTGACATAAATGTTTGCTCTAAACATATCCAGAATTGTAGTGGTGTTGCAAATGACTGGGGTCTAGAATATTGAGAGAATTTTAGTGAATGGAAATGTAGCAAATTAAAGCTTGGTGAGGCTTTTCTTAAGATTGGTAACTGTTTGAATCAGAATCAACCTGCGTCTTAAATGAAGTATGTTTCAAGTCCTAAGCAAAGAATTAATAATAGGTGTAAGTGAAAAATTGCTTCCAAGTCTTCATTTTGGTCATGTGCTAATTCACTGGCAGTGTGTTAAGCTATGTGGGAGAACAGTTTGTAAAGTAGGACCAAATTGAAAAATTGACTTGGACATGGTGAGTGTATAAATAGAATGGGACAGAAACCTGTGACTGACATGAAATGTGGTTACTATGTGTGGATTTACATGGAAGGTGGTCTGGGCAGCCAAAGGAGCTTTGACCAGTGCTCTGTAAGCACTGATTATATATTCCTTCCCATTAAGATAAATACCAGATCTGCTTTTCCCTAAACTGTGGTATTTAGCTCAACTCCATTTCATTCTAAAGGCAGAGTCGTGATGAGTTCATGTTCGTGCACAAACAAAAAAAATTAATGCATGCAACATTCATTTAATGGTTTATACATGACGGCCTTGACAGTACAGACTTAACAAGAACGGCACTAAAAAACCTGAAAGCTCAGATGAATGGGTTTGCTGAGGACACTGGCCTTTAGACTGTAAACCCAACAGGCATTCAGCTCTTAAGCACTTGAAAGCAAACATAATCTGTCATATAAAACCATCAGGGTGACTTTCAAGAATGTGTTGTGTATCTTTTACTGTACTTGAATATGAAGCCAGAACAGGCGATCCTATGGCTACCTCTTTCTATATCTTTTTGGAGCAGTATAGGAATATGTTGTGTGTCGTTAATCTTTTACTGTATTTGAATATGAAGCCAGAACAGGCAATCCTATGGCTACCTCTTTCTATATCTTTTTGGAGCAGTATGTAAAGAAAATGGATTGAACTAACAAATGAAAATCTCCATAAGAAGATCAGTTTTAAGTAGATCTTAATAAATCTATAGTAGATTTTACAGAAAAGTAAATTTAAATTCTTCAGTTGCTTCTTTGTTACAGACACTTGCAGATTAGTCTTGTATCCTTAGCACCAAGATATGGGGGAGTTCTATCATTTTCAGGAAGTTGTAGTCCTGAATAAATAAAAATCCTCACTCCTTCACTTGATACAGCCAGCAAGCAAGCCAATAGTCTGCATGTCAGACTCTTTTAATCATTACAAGTTTTCTTAAGGAAGACATAATTATAGCAATGACAGTTAATAATTCGTTCTTGAAAACCTTGGAGTGAAGTGAATTTGATTTTGGTGATAAAGAGATGACAGTGTAATGAAGCTCCTTCTGCAAAAGCTAAGACAGCAGTGATTCAGAGGGTAAATGGGTATTACTGCTTTTTACTTACGTGTGGGAGTGACTTTAACAAGATGTAATTTAGCTGTATTAGTATTTCTTCACAAGCATTATAGTTAGTGGTACCCTAGGTCACAGATGTTTTTTATTGGGATATATGGATCCTACTCTGGTATGACCTACCTGGAAGACATAGCTTGTTCATTTCTGCATCTTAACTTAGATTCAATTTCGTAAAAGCTGCAGTTCCATAAATAAATTTATTTACAAATAATAAATTAATGATTGAGAATTAAGAAGCTCTACCAGGGTCCATCACTGGCATAAAGAGATGTTCCACAAAGTATCAGTGTATTCTTAGAAAGATGCTACAGCTAATACAATCTAACCAAGAAATAAAAACAACATGCCTGCATGATGATGTGAATGTCATTTGGTTTCCTCAACATATTCTTTAAGATAGACTTTTCTATTGGCTTTGACCCTTTCTTTTTCAAGAGCTATTTATAAGTGAGATAGTTTGGGAAATAAAGGGAAAAATCAAGCATATTCCTGCAGTGAAGTTGTACACGCACTTCATTTTACAACTATCAGCAGGGATTTTACACAGAGATGAGGTAAATTTAGATCTCTACTCTGTGAACTGAGAGGAAGAAATAAATGACAGCTATTTTAAAAGGGAATTGAGGGAGGCGCCTGAGAGCATATTGTAGTGTGATGAGGCTAATTTCCTTCCCTTTGGAGTTTATTTATAAAGTATTAGTTTTAATTTTCAGGGAGCCTGAAATAAAACCACAGGACAGATTCCCATCTGACATTGAACTTGTGCTTTAAATGACCACATAGCTGCAAGAAGTGTGCTGAATTGAAAGGCAGCTATGACACCATAAATGCAGACTGACCATGGCAGACCTGCAACCCTAGTTCTAAGGCACAGGATAAACCTGCTGGGTTTAGAAGGTTAAATAATTTATTTTGAGAACTATGCCACCCCCCCATTGCACCCAGAGTACTGGTAGAGCAGGGCAACTGGAGAGCAGCAGTTAGTATCCAGCCCTTTCCTTATGACAAATTAAATAATTTATTTTGAGAACTATGGCACCCCCCATTGCACCCAGAGTACTGGCAGAGCAGAGCAACTGGAGAGCAGCAGTTAGTATCCAGCCCTTTCCTTATGACAATAAAAAGCAGAATAGATCTCCTGAGTAAGGGGGGCTGAGGAATAAGACATATTCCTGAATGTGTTGTAGATGAGGAGAGGATCTTGAGCAGTTCCTGAATCTCAGCTGGCCATTTAACAAGTAGAGGCAAAGCTAGCAGTGCTCCCTGTACCTTGTACTGCACACCTAAACTCAGTGCATGTAAAATGCTTCCCTTCCCTCAGCTACAATTCCCAAGTGGAAAATAGTATTTTTCTTTATATGTTTAACCTGCTAACTAATTCATAAATGTGTGGGAGATGGTGAGGTAAGTTACTGCAGCTGAAATGTGTGTTTTGGCACTAGAATGAAACCAGGAGGGAAAATCTGGAAGGAATACCAAATCCTTGACTTGTTGAAATTGGTTGAAGCTTTCCCATTGGGCAGGCTACCAGTGAGGATGGGATCTCAGTGAGAAGACACATACTTTATATTGTGAGGTCCTGTCAACATTTACTCACTCATTTCAGAATTATTCATGTTTTATTCTGTAATTTGCTCATGCTTTACCTGCAGGTCTACTCTAAGTAGCCTTGAGTGATGGTTACAGGTCATTCTGGTTGAGATCAGCATTGGTACCTGTTAATCTGCAGAGGCATTGAAGTTTATGGTCACTAAGATGACCAGAAAAACCACCATGACCTTCCAGGTCCATCTGGCAGCTACAGCTTTGGTCATCCATTGAAATACATTAATTATTCTCACTCAACAATACATGTGTTGAGTGGACGCATAAGCACAGCCACACATCAAGTAACTCAGCAATTCCTGCTGAAGCTCTGTGGCTGCTTGGCTCCTCTAGTGTGGTGTGTTCTCCATCAGCATTTCAGCCTGCTTCTGTCAAAGCATGTTTGTACATTCAGACATTTAACATGCTGTAGTTAGTGCTGCAGAAAGGAAAGGTCAAAACTGTTTTAAGTCATTAAGGTTAGTGGCACAGATGTTTAGTGTGAGGATTTTCGCTGAACCTATTTCAAAAACTTGTTCATAGCAACATTGCAGGTGCCAAGTTAGAGGCTTTGTGATTAATGTCAAAATAAAAAAAAGAGTTTTTGGAAAGTAGCAGTATATGAATTTCTGGAAGGTTGAACTAGAAGTTCTAGACACAGTTGAGCTCAGTTTTCTAGGCCTTGTTAAGAGCTGTATCTCCTCTAGCCCAAATTTAGCTCTTGAAGAATTGTGTGTAACCTATTGTTAACACCAAAGTGGTCACTACTTTTCAGAGAGAACTGGCCAGTACCAAGGATAACTCTTCATACCTGTTTTCAGTACTTAGGACTGCCTTCAAGTGTGTTCATCTTTCTGTGGTGCCTGAAGCATGATGCTCAGGTTGGAGAAGGCAACCTCTTTAGTGTTTACTATGTAGTAATATAAATCCTGTGCCTGATGGATGTTGGAAGTAGGTAGGTTGATAAATGTAGGTGTATCCAGGGGAGTAACTGCTCTGTTCATTGGTATTAACTGAAAATAAATTGACCTATACATTGGTGAGGTTTAGGATAGTTAGCTTTTTAAAAACCATCACTTGTGTATGTAAAAGTGCTCAGCAAGCAATTCACAGTATTTTATCCAAAATAAATGGTTCATTTGCACTCTAAAATTGCTTATTTCTTCTCTCCGTTTGTCTTTAAAGGGTGCCTACAGCAATGGTGTCAGGCTTAGACAGGAGATTTGAAATCACAGTCTCCAAAGTTCCTAGGAAATACAGAGGCATGCAGGGTGCATCCTGCACTGCACAAGCAAAGCAAAAAGATTGGCTGCTAATGCAACACAACTGTATCTGTGGTTCTCAGTGCTGAGCATGGGAATAACAGAGACTCAAGTTAAAGCTTGCAGTCAAAAAATAGCTCTTGTTAATAATTCAGCATTGTTTTAGCTTGCTGTGTATATTGGTTGGCTATTAGTGTCTTCTTTTTCTTCTGGTCTTTCAAGTCTGCTTCAATGTTTTGCTCTGTTTTGATTTTTGCGTTTCTTTGTAGCTGCCATTACTGTAAGTTTTGGAGGCAGTTAGCAATGCACCAAACCCAGTTATAATACAGGTACTGTACACAGAAGCTGTGTTCCTCAATTCCATGGAATGTTTTAAAGACATTTTGCTTCTCATCTGTTATCTCCACCTGAAAGCATCTGATTTGTAAACCAAAGAGGTGATGGAGAGTTGATATTGCTGCTTCCTAGGCAAGTTCCTTAGTAGCAGAAATCCCCACATAAGCCAGCAGCTTTTCTCCTGAGCAATTGAATCTTTCTAATAAAAAGAGTAATGCCTCTTCACAAATATGTAAATCAAAGTAATAATGAGCATCAGCTCTTAAAGAAAAAATCCATTAAACTGAATTGTTTAATCAAATAATTAGGGAGGAATTAAAGCATCACCACAACGTAATTTTAAAATAAAATCCCTTATTTGTTTTTGTTGAGGCAAAGCTATATATTATATACATTTGAAATTGATCTGAGAGTGTTTATAATCCATTTTATGAAACTTTTTTCAAGAGATTTTAAGAGTAAAACTAGACATTTTAATTATAGATGTTGTTAAGAATACCAGTGGAGTTCATGGGATTTCCTGCTCATTGCAGAGGCAATAATTCTGCATGCAAAAAAGGTGTGTTACATTTGGGATGCTAACTTTTAAATTCATGTTTTTTATGAATTTCATAAACCACATAAAAATTGTGGAAAATTTGTGCAGTGACAATGTAAAAAATATTTTAAATTATTACATATTCTCCTTGTGTATACAACCAAGAGTGATTCTCTATTTCAAAATATGTAATTGAATAGAACTATTAACTTAAAGCGTTTATTGTGTTCTCCAGCTTCACTTAAGAAATTTTAGCCACACTAGAGCTAAAATTACACATTGATTACTAATTTATAAACAGTGTTATGCTGTACCTTATTATTTCAGGTGTGGCTAAAATTTCAGTTAGTGTTCTCTAGGGCTTTGGTTAGAAAATTCCCAAATTTCCCAAAGCTCATGAGGGTGTTGGAAAGTTTAAGGGTAAAAACAAAAATGTGAATGGTGGTGTTTGGGAAGAGGGGAGTAGTAAAGCTTTATTTAGGTGTTTATGAAACATGATTTCACATGTCTGGAAAGACAAGTATTACATTTCACTGGTTCTTCAGAAACAAGCTAAAAGGATTTAAAGGTCTTTGAGTTCTAGGGAGTCATGACAAACCTGAACTCCATATGAAAGCATATATGATGCTTTCAGAATAACAAGTTTTGACCTTCAATTCCAAAAACTTCTTACCCTTAATGAAAGGGGCACAACATACAACTCAGAATTTTTATTCTGAAATTTGAATATGCAAAGATGCATTTATAAGACTGTCTTTTTTACAACTCTGTGAATTCAAATTATTTGGTTTTATTGGACTTTGAGGAGACTAGAAAGAGCTGTCAAGATATGAATAACATATAATGGCATAAAACTGAAATTCCGTCAATTTTTATATGCTTATGCTCTGATATTTTTTCATCCAATGTTGTCACATTCAACTCTCCATCTCACAGTGCTACTTTGGCATTAAAGTGTACCCCTATATGTCCTACCTAAAATTTATTGCTCATTTGGTTAATCTCCTAATTCTTTGCTTCCAGCAGATAAAAAAAAACATTTTCCAACACTGGTATTTTGCCCATTATTTAGATTTCCAGTCTGCATTGTCAGAGAAGAAGTTGTGTATATGTAGTTGGAAGAGAATAAGAATCACCTCTTCATCTAATTTTACCAACAAATAAAATGTCCCACATTATCTCCTTCAGGATATTTTCTTTGATTTTTAACTTTGCTTGTATTTTGTCTTGCTTGTATTCAATTTGTGAATTAATGAGAAGTTAAAATACTTTTGTTGCAAAATAATTTCTTAAATGACAGAAATATTGAGCAAGATTGTGATGTTTTAATCTTTCTCCTGTAAACAGACTTGTCACTAGAGACCTAAAGCAAATGACACAGGAGACAGGAGAAAATATGTTACATTATCTATCGTGAGTGAACTGGAGCTCCAAAGAGTTTCTACAGTTTACAAGCTATAGAGATGGAAATTGAAGTGAGACAGTAGAACCACAGAGATTGTTAGAAATGACAGTCCAGATATTTTATTTTAATTGGTTTTAATTTTTTTAAGTCAAATTTAAAAATTGGCATGCCATGAAATAAAAGTTCACATAATGTCTAGTAATTATGCCAAGGAACAAACTCAAGATGGGAAAAGTTCTGTATAGAAGAAGCTCTCATTCCTGCACAGCTGCACAAACATGGTAGGACTGGAACTAGGACTGCCAGGAGAGACATAAAGGCAATGAACCTCTGCTGAGGGATTTGTTCCTGGATTGAGTTCACTGTGCTGCATCCTGCTCCTATTAGCTTACAGTCTCAAGAATGCTGTTTAGCGACATCAGCATCTTGAATAAGCATGTGGACTTTTTTTAATGGCATGATGAGAATATCACCCCAGAGTAACCCTTTTCTTACGCCCAGTAGGGCTTGCTTGCAAGAATAGTCTCCTGATTATTTCAGCAATAGAACCAAGAGAAATAGTAATGTCTAGGCTCTATAACTCAATGTGCAGTATGGGATCATGCCTCTTTTTCTTACGAGTTTAGTTTGAATATAAATAATAATGATTGTTTTCGTGACTTTTCATAAGTATTGCTGGCAAAGATAAATGTTTTGCTTGGGTTATGCATTGAAATCTGTGATATTTAAGAGCAGTATTGATCTATAAATATCCTAAATGCATACACATATTGATTAAGCAATTCTTTATTCCTGTGTCTGCATAAATTAACTTTAAGCAGCATGGTTAATGCATTTCCAGAGAATGTCAGACTTTATTTTGGGTTCATTTACAAAGATTTAAAAGTTAAAGATAGTGCGTGTCAGAAATTTTGCTGCATGCATTTAATGCTAAATGCATAGGATCACAGTATGGATTGTTTTCTTTCTTAGTTTTTTTAAATTGTATTTTCTGTGGCTTTGTTTTTCTTTTCCATGCTGTGCAGAATGGGTTGCTTGTGTGAGGTCCAATTTCCTGGTTTTATGCTACCTGCATGATGTGAAGAATATCCTGCAGCTTCATGACCTAGCCACTGGTGCACATCTCAAGACTTTTCCCCTAGAAGTTGGTAGTATTGTGGGATATAGTGGCCAAAAGAAGGACACTGAAATATTCTACCAGTTTACTTCCTTTTTATCTCCAGGTAAGATTTTTTGCTCTCATGTTATTGTTCCTTTTCCCGAGAACGGTCTTTCTCATTTTCTGTAGTTAATATAAAACTGCTTTCCATCCATGTTAGCGGTGATTGCACACATAAAAATGTGCACAGTCTTTGCTCCATCAAGAGTCTTTCTCATTTTCTGTAGTTTAGTAGTTATTTAGTATATTGGTATAAAACTGCTTTCCATCCATGTTAGCAGTGATTGCGCACATAAAAATGTGCACAGTCTTTGCTCCATCAAGCCTAAATAATGTACCTACTAGTATTCGAGAAACCTGTATTAAGACTCAAGACTGACTTGTACTGGAGATAAAATTGTAACATTCTCACAGTTCTTGCTTCATACATCAAGTTAGAAGGTGAAAAACTCAGTGAAAGATCATTGTTAATGTGTTTAATATGATTTTTAATCACAATTTTAAAAAACATTAATAAAAGTCACAGAAATTGTTCTCTGACAGTTTTATGATTCATTGATGCACAGCCTTATTTGAGCATCCTTACTATCTGTCCTTACAGTATTTGGTGTTGTTGGATTGCTGTAGGAATTGTCTTTGTAGAGTCCTGCAAAGCTGGAGCTGTCCAAAGCATTACATAATACAGGTGTGGCAAAACAGTAAATATTCTGGGATTTTGCATAGGAAGGGAGTTTCTACATGATTGTCAATCTAGTATATGACAAGAAAATTTATTTACTGTTCACTTTTTTTTTTCTTTCTTGATGGCCCAAACAATCAATGCCTAATACAAGACAGGATTCAAATATGAAGGGGCAGCATCTTTAGGTTTCAGCATCTTTATCTCCTTCCAAGGTTCTGTTATCATAAGGGGATAAAAATTGTGCTTATAGCATCTGACCTATGTTCTTGCTTGTTTCAGTTACAGCACAGCAACATTACATTGCAAAATGGCTGTAAAATACTTTAGATAAGTTTGCTGGTTTTGCTAGTAAGGATTATGTCAAATTATCAAAATTAGGTTTCAGTCTTAGCAGATAAGTGTGATGAATTGCCTGTTGTCCTACTGTTTACATAAACAGAAATATGATCTATTTTCCGTTCCTCTTTTATACAACATTCAGATTGTTGCAGTCTTGCAGCTGGAGAGTAGCTTGAGGACACTCCAGCATTTGTCTCTAACTTTGTCCAGCTTGATGGTTCATAGTTCACTTGCCCAGAAGTTGCCGGTTTTGCAGGCCTGCACCATTTGTCTCAGCTTATCCAGTAGACTCTCTGCAGCTGCTAAAAATGTGTAGGGGAAGAGCCCAGATATGTTTTAGCCTGTGGCTTTCCAGCTGGCCAGCAATAGCTGCTCTCACTGCCTGCTGGTTGCTTAGGCAAATTATTTTTCTCCTTTTCATTGATTTCCTTAGCATCTACAAATAATTCACTACGGCATAGCTCTGTTAACTGGGGCAGAGTGACCTAGAATCTGGAAGAAAAAGGGGAGGTAAGAAATGTAGGTAGACTATGAGGATAAAGAAAGAATGAGAAAAGCAGACTGGAGAGGTAATTTTTAGGTAGGTGTATTTTAGTTTGTGTGCAGCCTCTATTCACCTCATCAGAGGAATAATCATACAAAAGGTATGGGGCTCATCCTTGTTTAACCTAGATATTTCTACTTTACTATCAATATAATTTGCACCTGTATTAGGTTGGACTATTCTTTTTTTTTCTAATAAGAAACAAATTAACATACTCGTGTTTAATGCCTACAACAAAAGTAATAATAACCATATATATGAAAGCAGTTCTAAACCCATATATGCTGACACCATAAAATAATTTCTGTTATTCCCTGAAAAATATGGCTATCCCTGCTGTCCACTCTGGTCAGATGCTTAGGTGACCACCGGTGTTTTGCATTTATTTAGTACCCAACAAAACCGTTACAAATACTACAATGGTTTTTTATATTAACTGCTGTCACACTAAAAATACAACAGAACAAGAGATGCACTAGCAGGGGTTGAATTGCATGTTAGTGTAACATTAGGTTGATTTGCTCTGGAAATGCAGTCTGTGACTGTGCTTATTCTTCATTGTGTGATTTGCTAAGATGTGGGAATTCTGCCTGCCCTGTGTGCAGTGTTTGCCAGTACATTGCCCAACCTAGGCAGTTGCCTGTGTGTCAAACAGCTACTCTGCTGTTGCTGCCTGGATGGCTTTACACGGAACTTCCACATCATTTTCTGGATCCTGATCTTCAAGGGAAATGTTGCATTAATGCTGGTTTGAACCTATCAGCCTGATTAGGCTTGCTAGTAATTTTGTAATAAATGAAAAAACAAAAAATCATAGCAGACTAGAGTAGTCCTACTTTTAGTCCCCTCTTAATTCACTGTTATGGAAAAAAGCTTTATCAATTGCTAGAAATGTTTGTTTACATCTGCATTTGTTTACCAATCTCTATCTTCCTGATTTTCTGGTCTATAACACTTACTTGAAGAGGCAATTCCCTGGTATCAGATAAGTTTCCTCATTATTTAATGTCTGCATTAATTTGTATAATTACAACCTCTGTAGTAATTACTTCTATTTCCTGAATTTATCTATAATGCACACAATACATCAGGATTTCAATCAAGTCCTGTCCACCTTGGTTAACTTTATTACATTGAGGATCCCAGGTCTTAAGGATGAGGATGCCATACCTTTTAGTGTTCTTTTCCCTCATAAATGTTCCAAATTTTGCAGGGAGCAGCTTTTTGTAAAGGAGAAAAAAAAAGAATAATTAGCACTCAAGTTAGTTTACGTATCACATGTATCTGTAGTACAGGCATGAATATTAGGATTTTTAGTATGTTAACCAGTGTGCAAACATGATAGTCACATTGTATGACACATACTCAAATGTTATTAGGGTTGAATGATAGGAAATATTTTATAGTTTAAATGTAAAATTATTCTTGGTTAATTACACATCTGTGTAGTGTCTGGATAGCTGCATTCCCTGTGATTTGGCCTCTGCTGCAACCTAGAAGTTCTATACTATTTATAGACATAAATTTTCTTATGTGCACAATCCTTTCGAAATTATATGTACAACTCAAGTGAAGATATCTTCAAACCTGCAAGATCAAGATGTAAGAGAAGCTACTCAAGACCAGATTTTGTTCAGTTCCATAGGTAACCTGTGCTAGTCTGCCACAATTTCAAGTGGATGTTTAGTTCTTTCTGTTATCTGGGCCATTTGAATTTTAATTTCAAATCTTTTACCATAAGAAGAAAATTGTTGACCTGAGTGAAATTCTTGATATATTTATTCTCGGTCTGGTGGATATAAAAGGGAGTGTTTTAAATTTGACTTTACATTTCTTTCTTCTAACATTATTTTTCTTAATAAGTCCTTTCTAATTTTATGTGAATCATTTTTTCCCCCTATTTTGCTTAAGTCCCCCTGGCTTTGTGTGAATGGTGAGAATTACTCCTTCTGCACAAAAGCCTTTGCACCCTCCCTAAATGAAATGCATATATGTAAGTGTTATATTGTATAATAAATTAAAAAATGTGTCCAGAACTACTGATTTTCACCCTGCTGAGTTACCTTTCCTATTCATGACTCCATCACAGTGCCTAAACTGGCATCTTTTTAATGGTAGATATATAGTAAGCTGACAAGCTTGCATTGTATTCTGTATTTTAGGTATTATATATCACTGTGATCTGACCAAAGAGGAACTGGAGCCAAGAGTTTTCCGAGAAGTGACTGTTAAAGGATTTGATCCTTCTGTTTACCAGACAATTCAGGTAATAAACATGAACACTGCTGTCTTGCTCCCACCACCTATGTAAGAGCTCAACATAACTGGACTTAGCTGTTGGTGAGGAGACTTGCTTTAGAGCCATGCTTTGGTTTTGAATTGAAATACTATTGTAGGTGCTCTAAAGGCTCAGACAGGTATCTCAGTGTAGTAGTGTGGAGAATCCTTTGGAGGTGCCTGTTACACATAGTGAAGGTGTATAAGAATTAGCTAAATTTCAGGTTTATGAAGTTGAAAGAAATTAGCTTTTAGCAGTAGAAAACAGTGTAAGCTACAGATTATATGGAACAGGTTCAGGAAAATACAGGGTTCTTCATAAACAACTGCTTTGACCTTGTAACATTATTGTTACTAAAATGATGATACAAAATACACATTTTAAGTAATAAATGATCTTTCCACTAAACACAGCTTTGGTAAGACCCTGATAAAATACTGTGCCCTTGCAAAGATTTTTAAGACAGGTATGGAACTTGTAGAGAGAGTTCATGGAAATTCGTTGAAATCATAGAATTCTTTAGGTTGAAAAAGACCTTTTAAGAGCAAATCCAGCCATAAACCCAATATTGCCAAGTCCATCACTAAATGTGTTACTAAGTGCTCATCTATTTGTCTTTTAAAAACATCCAGGGATGGTGACACAACAGAAATCATTAGGGGTCTAGGAAAGCAGTCATTATATTGGGATGCTTAGCATATTTGTCATGGTTTGACCCTAGCACAATGCCAGGGCCTCCATGAAGAGTATATTTCCAAAAGGGTTGCTGTGAGATGTGACCCAGGAACAGAACAAAGCAGGCTTCCATTCGGGGATGGAGGGAAAAACACAACCCTTTTTAAGACCTCCAATTTATAGAATAAATATTGGAGGGTGGATTCATGTTGTAATATGTAGGATGTTTTCATCTTCTGCCTAAGAGTAAGAATGGAATAGAGGCTTTTTCTTTCTATAAACAAAGGCATAACAAAGTCTAGTGCCAAAAGTGGAACTTAAATAAGCTTAGCTTGCAAAAAGGTGAAATTCCATAGAAGGTAAGCAACATAAAGCCTTGTCACAGCATGGCTTGAAGTCTTTGAAAAGAGATTACATACTTCTCTTAATATCTTATTTTTAATTTTGCGTCTGACACATGCCAAGGCACATTCTCTGAAAGTGTAAAGGCAGTAGTATGTGTACATGAAGTGGTTGTAAACAGCCCCATCTGTCTGTGTCTGCATCTCCAGACAGAAATAACAGTGTGGTAGAGAACAATTTCCTGGAAATGTTCTCACAGAGAATGCATTTTTGCTGCTTCACTCAAATTCATTAAGGGACTTCCTCAGGATAACTTTAGGGCAGAGTGAGCTGGATAAGACAAAGAAAACTGCATTCTCTTTAGGAAAGAGCTTGGTACAATTGTAATGCTGCCATCAAACTCAGAAGGATAATAATGAAACACAAATACCCATGTAATTAAAAAGGGTATAGAAGAGGTTGCTGTAAATCAGAAGTAATGTATTTTTCCAGTAAATCAAATTTTATAAAATAAATGTCTGGAAAAATAAAATCTCCTTTTACACTTAAATCAATTACATGCTAAATTAAGGTAAAGTAGAACAGTGATACAAATAATTTCAAGGAGGAGGCATGCTGTTGCTATGCCCTTGGAAACCTTCACTTTGTAAAGCACTGGCAGAGATTCACTGCTAGGCTGTAATGTGGTGGAAGTCAGTATCACTGTTTCTGGTTTTCTCCTTACTCAGCTTCTGCTCATTTCCAGCTCTAGGGAAATGTGACCTGTGTGTTGACACTGGGATCAGTGCTTATGAAGAGCACTCTTGGCTCACCATCCAGTCATCCAGTTTTGCCTTATACCAGCAAATGATTGCAGTATGGCAACCTCTTGGAAATTAGTTTTTGATATGTTTCATTCAGATCCATGGAGGAATCTCAGCTAAGCTGTGAAAAAGGCTGTTTGTCAAGGCCAGGGCTGGGACTGCCTGCTCAAGTTTGTAGTAACTGAAACTGTCAGTACTGCACAGGTCTGATGGACTCCAGTCTTCGTTTCCATTTGGGTGGTCCCACTCAGAGCCTTGATGGTGCTTCTGCTCAGGGGAGGGAAAGGGGATGGCAGGGTATCAAAGCAGGGTGTAACAGGCTGTCAAGCTAAATTAATACATAGCTATTTCAAAACACAGGCAATGTTGCAGGTATTTGTTAAAAAAATAAAAAATAAGAATGCAAGAAATATGCAAAGAATGCAAGAAAGTAGGCAAACCCTGATTATTATAGGAGAATGAACAATGCTTCAGAATCTATTTAATAATTTTAATTTCCATCAGAATTACTAAGTAGGAAAGGATAATGTTGCTGACTGTCCTAATCCATGTCCTTAATGAAAGGCAGGTCTCCTGCCAAAGTTCTTTCTTTATTCTCATATACCTGAAGAAATACCTACTAATACTAGCAATCTTCCCAGCTTTGCTGTGTAGCATATATGAAACTATAATGAGTTGTTCTTCAGAAGTCTTTGAATATAACAGGACAAGATTTGAACTGAAATGTAAGGTGCATGTGTATATGAAACCTGAATTAATGGCAATTGGTAAATTGCCACAGTGCCTGTTTTTTGGTCTTTCAAATCCAATCTGCTGTATTTGGTATATGTTGTAAAGTGCAAAGGTAGACTAGTGGTGAAGTTTACTACACAAAGAAAATTTGTGCTGGAACTGCTGCATTTTTTGTAGCTAGGGTTAAGATCTTACACTTTGACAGCCCTAACTAAGAAAATCAACAACTTGCACTGAAGGGAGAGCTGTTTCAACACACCTGTCTTTTGCACCAGGGTGGGAGCATGTTTTTGAGTTATTGGCTCCATGTGACACCCTGCAAGTACAGTCTAATTTACCGTGCTGTAACTTGTACTTACGCCCTTACCTTGAAATCTCTGTGACCTTCATGAAGAAGTCAAACTGTTTAAAAATGCTTGCCACACATCAAAAATTTATCCTAGCTGCTTTTGTTAAATGATACATTAAGTTGCATTAATTACTCTTCCTCTCAAGCACTTCTTGAAATTTGGTTTTTCTTCCCTGTGTACTTCCATCTATCACAATGACAGACTTTTTCAGGAAATAGCCTGGGATGGGCTTTACAGAAAGAAAAAACACTTTTACAGGAGCTTAGAAACAGCACTTGCCCTAAGATACTTACTGTGTTAATAACTCAACTGTTGCTTTAAATAAAAGCATCTTATTTGAATACAAAAATTTTATCTCTGTAAAGTTGCCAACTATGTACTTATATGCCTCTCCATGTTAGCACCTCACAGTGACACTTAATCGTGGATAAACAGTCTTCTGGTGTGGCTCACAACACACCTACTTTAAGGTTGATGTGTAGGCTTTTAAGTGTTAAAATTGCAACAATAAAAATGTTGATTGGCTCTTTTTACCATTCTTTGAATACCCTCCAGTACTTAAAATACTTTGAGATGAACTGAAAATAGATGTTGCTATTGACAGATGCACTTTGGATTAGCTCTTGCAAAAGGTGAAATTCATAACACAACTTCATTTTACAACTTAGTTTGATTAAAAAAGCAGCTGCTGTTTAGATATTGCAGCACATATCCAAGAAGCACGGGTCTTAAAAAAGATATTTCTCATTGGGCTGGAATGAATTTCCACCTTTCTTTTGCAGGAAATACTTTTGCAGGTGAAGTAATTTTCATGAGAATTCTATTCTTTTCTTGCTCAGTCTTTACCTCCCGTCACCAAGCCCTTGCAGTACTGATTTCAAGTTATGAGGCATTAATGGGGAAAACTAGTCTACAGTCATTCTCATTCCAAGTGGAACTTTACACCATACAGTTTGGCACAGAAAAAGTCTACAGTCATTCTCATTCCAAGTGGAACTTTACACCATACAGTTTGGCACAGTGATTAATCTCTGCTTCAGGAAAACACAACACTGAGAGAAGATGAGTCAGGCTTGATATTGACTGGCAGAGAAACTTGTGCACAGCACCTGCCCATGCTATTCCTGGATCTTGCTGTTGCTGGTGGTGTCATTCCATGAGCATTAGATTCCCTCATTAATATAAAAATAACAGAGGAAAGCAGTGTCCTTTGAAAACTGTAGTAAGCTCAACCTGCTAAGCAATGCAAGAGCTGATACTATAATTATCTCTGGTTTTTTTCAGTGTGGTTATAGAGATGGTCTTAACATAGATTTTTTTCCCCTTACCCACATATATGTCGTAGAATCAAAGAATGGTTTGAGTTGGAAGGGATTTAAATCATTTAGTTCCAACCCCACTGCCATGGGCAGAGACATCTTTCACTAGACCAGGTTGCTCAAAGTTCCACCCATCCTGGCCTTGAACACTTCTGAGGATCATGCATCCACATCTTCTTTGGGCAACCAGTGTTCCAGTGTCTGTTTCCAGTGTCTCACCACCCTCACAGTAAAGAATTTATTAATAATTTCTCATCTAGACTTTCCCTCCTGCAGTTTAAGCCCATTTCCTTTTTTCTATTGCAATATTCCCTTGTAAAAAGTTCCTCTCCAGTTCTTTTATAGGCCCCTCTTAGGTACTGGAAGGCCACAATTCGGCTACCCTAGAGCCTTCTCCTGAACAACTCCAACTTTCTCAGCCTGTCTTCAGAGGAGGGGTGCTCCAGCCCTCAGATGATTTTCATGTGTCCCCTCTGGGCCTGCTCTGACATGCCAGTGCGTATGTTGGGTACCCCAGAGATGGGTGCAGTGCTCCAGGTGGGGCCTCACCAGAGTAGTGACCTGCTGGCCATGCTTCTTTGGATGCAGCCCTGGACACCGTTGGCTTTCTGAGCTGTGAGTGCACATTGGCTGGGACACATTGAGTGTCTGGTCAGCCAACACCCCCAAGTATTTCTCCTCAGGTGTCAGAACCCAGGACATTCCTCTGGCTGCCCTGGATGGCTCGAGCCCCTGGCAGGGGGCTCAGACCTTGGCACGGAGTCAAA